CTTGAATCTTGAGTAGCTGGCAGCAGGCTAGGTCTCATCAGAGGGTAGAACACATATGAGAGTTATAGGAGTAACTGAGGAGGCAGGTTAGCAATGGAGCCATTTTCGAACTTTTTGAAGCTGCTTCTAGATAGGTGGTATAATTTAGCCTTGTTGCTGAAGGTGAAACGTAGAGGCTTGATGAACTCAAGAACTTGGGTGAGTGTGAAGTGAAGCGGTGATTCACATGCATACTTGACTGTTCCAGCACCGAGGCTTTTGTAGAGTTCAGTACAGGTCATGGTGTCAGTATTTGAAGGAGAAGTGTAGAAGGTAAGGTTTTCCCATGAGGGTTTACTGGAGTCGTCGTTATCTTCCTCTTCTGGAGTGAATTCACTGGGAGAATCTACAATGGTTGTAGCAGGTGACTGAGGTTCCACAGGAGCAGCTGTGAGGTGTAATGGTTGTGTAACAGCAGGCTGGGAGAGGTGGGAGACGGTGGCTGAGGCAACTTGATCAACGTTGTCAGCGGTGGAAGTGGTTATAGAAGTTACAGGAGCAGTTGCTTGGGCAGGAGACAGGTCTGCAGGTGCAGTAAAGTTCAGGACGTTGGGAAGAATCTTGAGGATGTCTTCTGAAGGTGTGAAGTCCGGAAAATTGAAGACAGGCATGTTGTTCAGACGGAATAGTTCGTTAATAGTGGTGTTGAAAGTGCCTGGGTTTGCTGCGTTTGCAAGGTGTGCATACACCATGCAGTACAGCACCTTGGAAGGAGCACCGTCGGGGAGTGGAGAGAGGGAGTTGCTGGGCGATGGTGCCTGTAGTTTAGCGTGTAGAGTCTTGATGGTGTCGGTTTGTGGTTTGGTTATTGCAGCATATGTCGGTGAATTGGAGGTCTTCTTCAGAACTTTAGTTTTCTTCAATATGATTTCTTTCCTGTACCCCCAGTACCAACAATACCACCAGTCCGATAACATTCTTCTTTGCAAATATACAGGGTCTAAAGCCAGCAACAAACAACAAAATACCTTTCATCCGTGGACTGCTTGCAGAGGCAAAGGCAATGTTCGCGGCTTTCACTGAGACCCACATAAAGGATCACTTGGACAACGAAATATGGATCCCAGGTTACAACCTATACAGATGTGACAGAGTGAACAGGCAAAAAGGGGGGGGGGGGTTGGCCTGTACATTGCAGAGTCACTTGTTTGCACAGAACTGCTAAATGCCTCAAATGATTAGTGGAAGTTTTAGCAGTAAAGGTCGAGAACCAAACCTAGTCATTGTGATAGTCTACAAGCCCCGGATGCAACATCCCAGCAATTCAGGAACAGCTGTTAAAAATTGACCACTGTCGGGAAAACCTTCCAGCCCCTGCACCCAACATCTTGCTCCTGGGATTTCAACTAAGGCACCTAAAATGGAGGAATATAGCAAATAATATTTTTGCAGTAAAACACCAGGAGGCAGCTCTGTTTGAAAACTACACTCACGCGAGCTTTTAAATCTCTGCACAAAATTCAATTTAAACCAGCAAATATAGAGCCTACTAGACTGGAGAATACACTAGACCTCATCTTCACTAACAATGATGATCTGATAAGAAATATCACATATCAAAAACAATATACTCAGATCACAACATAATTGAGGTTCAGTCATGTATGCGCGGAGCCCCAGACCGACATAATGAGATTAGTCACGAGGGAGCATTCACCAAATTCAACTTCAATAACAAAACATAAAGTGGGACCCAAATAAACCAGTCCTAACCGATATAAGCTGGGAAGATATACTAACAACACAGACCCCAACTTATGCCTAAACAGATTAAACCGGTGGCACTCGATGTTGCACAAGGCTTATTCCTCTAAGAAAAAAGGGGGAGTAGATGTAAAACAGAAAGAGACGGCCCCTCCCTTACAGGCGACGGAAAAGAATAACAGAGCGGCTAAAAGAGGTCAATATATCTGAAAAAGCGTAGGGAGACACTGGTCAGAGAAATAGCAAGCATCGAACTTAACTAAAAGAATCCTTTAGGAGTCAGGAATCGCGGGAAGAACTAAAAGCCATAAATGAAATCGAAAAAAACCCAAAGTATTTCTTCTCCTATGCCAAATCAAAATCGAGAACAACGTCCGTATTGGGCCCCTACTTAAACAAGATTTGGGGCCTACACAGGATGACAGCAAGGAAATGAGTGAGCTACTCAAATCCCAATATGACTCAGTTTTTTGCAAGCCGCTAACCAGACTGAGAGTCGAAGATCAAAATGAATTTTTTATGAGAGAGCCACAAAAAATTTTATTAACACAAGCCTACCGATGTTATCCTGAGCCAAAAAAGACTTCGAACAGGCGTAAATGACATGCCCATGCACTCTGCCCCAGGGCCAGAACTGTGGAACTCTGTGTTCATCAAGAACTGCAAGAAGCCCCTATCACGAGCTTTTACCATCCTATGGAAGGGAGCATTGGACACGGGGGCGTCCCACAGTTACTAAAAAACAACGAATCCCCCACTCCACAAAGGGGGCAGAAAGCAACAGCAAAGAACTACAGACCAATGCACTACATCCATAAAAAAAAATCTTTAAAAAGGTCCTAAGAAGCAGTACCCCGCATCTAAAAAAACCCATCGTTAACAACCCAGGGCAACAGGGGTTTTAGAACAGGTCGCTCCTGTCTGTCTCAACTTTTTTGGACCCTAACAAGGTCTAAATGCACTAGAAACAAAAAGAATGCAGATGAAATAATACAGATTTGAAAAAGCCTTCGACAAGTTGCCATGGGTAATAGCGCACAAAATGCGTGCAAAGGAAAAACGGAAAAAGCGGTCGATGGATCTAAAATTTCCCCCACTAAAAACACAGAGAAGTCGTCAACAGAGTAAAGTCCGAGGCAGCTCGGGGGGAAAAAGCTCTTTTCCCAAAAGGCACAGTATCGCTCCCATCTTTTCCTCATCCTTATTCCCGGGACTAACAAGGTGTCGCCACAGCCCGGTTTTCCCTTTTGCAGAGGCACCCGAATCTGCATGACAGTGTCTTCCCTTTCAGACACTGCAAACTCCAGGCAGACATCAAAAAATCTTTCGTGGGCTGCAGAAAACAATATAAATTTCAACGAGGGAAAAATTTAAATACTCAATATGGAAAATGAGGAAATTAAATCTTCATCAGAGTACAAAAACAAATTCGGGCCACAAAAAAAGCGAAACCCCAAACGTCAAAGATGGGAGTGATCATGTCGGAGGATCTCACCTTAAAGGACCATAACTTGTTAAATCGCATTCTAAAAAAATGACAGGATGGATATTGAGAACTTCAAAAGGGACCAAGCCCATGATGCATCTTCAGGTCACTTGTTCTATCTGGCTGGAAAATTGTGCACACTAACGCACCCTTTTAAGGCAGGTGAAAATTTCCCACCTAGAAAATGTAAGAGAACTTTTACGGCGCGCATAAAGGGGATAAAACACCTCAAATTTTTGGGAGCGCTTTAGGTTCCTAAACCCGATTTGGAACGCAGGAGGGGGAAAATACAGTTATAAACCCGGAAAAATCCTAGAGGGGCTAGTACCGAACTTGCACACGAAATTTTACTCATTACGAAAGCAAAAGACTTGGGGCGATGCACCATCCCCCCAATGAAAAGCAGGGGTGCACTACACTTTTAAAAGACCAAAAATAAGTGTCAGGGGGGCCCAGATGTTCAATGCCTCCCAGCACACATAAGGGGGTTACAACGACCCTGGGGTCTTCAAGTGGCACGGGGGCAAGCCCTAAAAACAGTTGGATCAGCCGGGGGTGGCTCGTTGTTGGTTTGCGTTAGCCAGCAGCAACGCCTGGTTGATCGGCTTATCCCCCAGGAGGCCTGGTCTCAGACCGGGGCCCCGGGGCGTTGACCCCGGGAAATTCTCCCGGGTTAAACTCCAGGTTAGCTGCAAGAGTATGATATTACCCTTGCAATTAAGACATTAGGTGCTTAGTAAAGGTGCAGGATCGAAATCGGTCCATCTTCCCACTTTTGAAAAAAACTTCTTATTTTTTGAGGGGCAGTCCTTGGTGGTGTGTTTAGGGTAGCAGGTCCCGCAGTGGGAGATGTATGTAAAAAAGTTCTTGTTCTTTTATGACTTGGGTGAATGTGGTAAAATGGAGGCCAACCGTCAGAGGGGAGTTGGGCAAACCATGGAGAGTCTGAGAAAGCAAACTTTAGCATTGTGCGGCGTTGGGGATCTTTGAGATGCTGTCTACCGAGGCCCACGTGTTTTGTTCCCCAATAGATGTCTTCAGTGCTTCAGTAGAGAGAGAGGTGACGATATTGTCAAGTCTTTTCACCAAAGACCGAACGTTTCGACTTCAAGAATGGAGACGGGGATAGAGTGAATTGTTGTGTTTGTAGGGTCCTGATTGAAGAGTCGTCCATTAGTTTTAGTGCTTCCGTGTCATCTGTGCAGACGACAATGAAGGAGTCTTTCAGAGAGTGGATTGCAGTAAATTTGACCTGCAGGCAGGTCCTAACGACGGTAGCTAAAGCTAACTTCGAGGAGTCATTTATTGCACCATTCACAGGCTTGATTTTCACACGATTCGACATCATTGTGAAAAGGATATCACGTTTGTAGAATATAAATTCTACACCCCGACGGGGTCGAAAAGAGGCTTCTTGCGGTGTAGAGCAACTGTATGATCGGACTGTGTGATCAAGTGTGAGACCTGCAGCAGTACTCCTTCCTTCTTATATGGGTGTGACTTGGCTAGCATGGGCCAGTAGACCTGCAGCAATGCTCCTTTATGTTCTTATGTCTCACTTTTTTTTTTTGGCTATCCTAGGTAATTTACACATGCGTTACTATATATGATAATTGTACTTATGTGTACCTATACCTAAATAAACTTACTTCAAAGACCTCCAATGAAAATAAGTCACTTTGTCTGACTTTTTTGGGGGGTTTCGTAGGTAATCTACACATATGCTGCTATATATGATAATTTACGTAACTTTATTTATGTGTACCTGTACCTGAATATACTTCCGTGTAACTGTACCTAAATAAAGTTACTTACTAGTGACGTACTAACTTAGGTCCTCACAACCTCTACACCCAACAACAGTGAACAACAAAAGCAGCAGCAGCGGAAATTTCGACAAGTGAGTTTATTTACCTACATTTTTACACAATTTTTGGACGATTATACTTGCCTTGTATAATAATATATGTTCAAATTACCCATGATAACCCAACAGTCAAACAAGGTGACTTATTTTGGATGGGCAGGTGATAAGTTCTGGTTTAAAACAAGGACTCCGGGGGAAGTAGTCACTAACCCTTTTTTTGGGTTATCTTTGGTAATTTACACATATGTTACTTACGTATGATAATTAGTGTAATTGGTTTTTATGTGTACCTGTGCCTAAATAAACTTATTTAAACTTGATATGTGATATATAATTTGTTTGTACATTGCTTCCCACGAACACAGATAATAGGAACATAAAAAATGTACATTATGTACATCTAACAGAGGCTAACCCAGTAAAGCAAATAATGTAACTTATACTTTGTATACCATAATTGTACTTATGTATACTTGAATACTGTAATTGTACTTGTGTATACTTATACCTTAATAAACTTGTATACTTAACAATATATAACATTTTTTCTTGAAACTAACTAATCTGTAGCCATATTAACTGTAAAACCATCCAGTGTAACTTCAGTGTATTGTAAGGAAATTAACATTTTATTCTCACGGGATAGTTGTTATATTTTCTTTTGTGGCTTTAGGCCCCCTTAAGATAGTTTAAGATTTTGTTTGGATTTTTAACCCGGGGGAGGGTTAACTACCTAGGATAACCCAAGAGTCAGTACTGGGGTCCTCTAATCTTGTCCCCAGGATGCTACCCACACCAGTCAACTAACACCCAGGTACCTACTTGCTGCTAGGTGAACAGGGACGGCAGGTGTAAGGAAACATACCCACATTTCCACCTATGCCGTCATGCGAGTAAATAGTTACACTCAAATCCTATCAGAATTTCTACTTATTGTATTTTTAATTTTGATGGAACTAGCAGGTTAAGTTAAGTAAGATTTGTCAGGCAAAAGTTCAGGTGTTTCCTGACTCGGGTCTTAGTCATATGATGACTGTCACTGGAGCTTTTGGTCATCTGACTGAGGCCTTCCACTGGCTTAAAGGTCTATTATCCCTTTAAAAATTAAGATTGTATCTTATCTCTGGGAACTAGCAGTGTTTCAGTTTTGAAGATGCTTTGCAATATTCTTGCAGAAAGATTGTTTTAATATTTTCAGTGTAATTAGTTGAATATTTTTTTACTGACATGTTTTCCAAACCTCAGAATGGGCTCAAAAATATCTTTTTAGTAAAATCCACTTTAATAGAGGGTTTTTAGTAAGTTTATTAAGGTATAGGTACACATAAATACAATTGGCATACATAGTTTATCATATGTTTACCTAGGATAAAACAAAAACAAGGTCAGAGGATGTGATTTATTTCCCATAGGGGTCCCATTTCCCAGGTTTAGCACTTCCATATGAATATAATAATCTGGTGAAATTACTGCATGTTTGTGTTGAAGGCCACTTTATGATTAACCTCATTGATTTAGTAACCCAGAAAAACCAACAAAGCCATATGGCTTATTTTAATTGGGGCCCTGTTGCATCCACTCCAGGATGTCAACCTCAGCAGTCGACTAACTCCAAGGTATGTGTGTACGTTATTTACTAGGTAACAGGAGCAGCAGGATTCAACCTTTTGAATGAGAGGCAAGCACGCTATCACAAATTTTGCAGTCATTCACCTTACATTTAAATATTCAGTCAAAATACTTTGAAATGACCATAAGAAATTCCCACAGAATTGCAGTGTCCTGGATACTCAGGCAATGATTTTTGTGGTTAGGCTTCCTCACTCTTTCAGTGTTGGCCGCTGTTTTTTTATGTTGATGGATGACCAGAGCATTTATCATTCTCGGCTAATGTTTGTCCTGCTGTGAATCGAGAAACCCACTCAAAACAGTGTCCAGCCCATTACTAAATGCTTACTGAAGCAAGCCATGCACTCGCACTATTCTTTCTTTAAAGGATTCCATTTCATTGCACAAAAAACTGTAAAAAAAAATACCCATCTAACCTCAGCAGAATAACCGCACTGAAACTCGCCACACTACTTCACAAAGGAGTGTACTGCAGTGTGATTTGTGCAACTGCAATATTTTCTCCAGGAAGTGCATGAAAATTCAAGTTTTTGAACTTTTTAATAGCACCTCATAGAGTAATAATGTAAAAATAATAAGATACACCTCATTCATGTGCCATTTGATGGAACTTAATACTGGTAAATACTGGGAATGGAATTGTATGTAAATACTGACAAGGTGGAGTACAAGTCACAGATGCCTTTTATTAATGAAGTTAAACCCACACAGCAGGCTCTATAAGGCCCACTGTATTGGTGATGTCTTGTTAATAAAAGTACCCACTGCATCAAATTGTCATTTATTTCTTTGGTAAATACAATCATTCCTTCCATTTTCCATTGATGTTATGCTAAACAGGATCTCAGATCAGGACCAAACAAATAGTTTGCATGTAATCAGTTTTTCTTAAAAATGCTTTTGCATTTTATTGATCTGTATAACAATACGTAGCCATTTAAAAATTACTACAGATATTGTTAAATTGCAGTTTATTGTACTATATAGTACTGTACATAATTTTATTGTTTAAAAACCTAAAAAAACATTTCAGACATAATGGAGCAAGCAGGACAGCAGCAGCAGCAACAACAGCAACAGCAGCAACAGGTAAGCCTTGTCCCACAACAGATTTGCATCTCTATTCCCTAATATTAATTATTAATAAATACATATCCTCAGGACACTCAGATATGGATAGCACTGTTTGAAAATGTAGTAGAAATTAACAATTAATACTGGGCCTTTAGATTCAGCAACAGAAGTGGTCTGTTAAGTTTAGGTGATGAAATAAGTACAGAATTCTGAACAGACTGAAAAAAATGGAATTAAGTCATTTGTCAGGTTTTCATAATTTTCCTGGTTACAAGAATATCTCATGGTTGTTTCCCTAAATTTTTATGCATTTTTTGTTTCTGGAGGATATGGAGACACATCTTCACATCAATATTTAAAACATAGATATAATCAGAAAATAATGCTTCCTTTTAAAATAAGGGAGTTAGCCTGTCTGATGGCTGTTAAGAAACCATTTTTTTCTATTTACCTGGAGTATACCTGGAGAGGGTTTTGGGCGTCAACACCCCAATGGCCCAGTCTATGACCAGGCCTCATGGTGGATCAGGACCTGATCAACCAGGCTGTTACTGTTGTCTGCATGCAGCCCAACGTACGAACCACAGTTCGGCTGGTCAGGTACTGACTTTAGGTGCCTGTCCAGCGCCTTCTTGAAGTATGCTAGGAGGCAGTTGAGCAGTCTGGGTCCCCTCACACTTATTGTATCATCTCTTATCATGCTATTGGCACCCCTGCTTTTTATTGGAGGGATGTTGCATCGTCTGCCGAGTCTTTTGCTTTCGTAGGGAGTGATTTTTGCGTGCAAGTTTGGTACTAATACCTCTAGGATTTTCCAAATGTGATAAATTTCAGCAAGCTTGAGTTCCAGTAAGGGGGAACTACCCAAACTCTACAGTACATACCTGCAATTCTTAATAAGAAGTACTATGCTGAATAATCATAATTGAAAGTATATATCCAGAAAATTTTTGGGAATACAAAATTTTCTGAGTGAAATTTTTTTCTACCTGCTAGTAGCATACATCTCTCATAAAAGAAAATCAAAGAACCAGCTAGCTACAGTGATGATGGAACAGGAGAATAAAAACTTATTTCTGCAAACCAAAATTATGAGAGTGGGAATTTCACCCTCTTACTCTTTAAATTAATTCCCACTCTACTTACTGCTTTGTTATCATCACAGATAGATGCTTCTCTTATTTGTAATTTATTTTGAATGTTTTATGCGCATCTTACCATTATCTGTCACAGGTGAATTTTACATAAAGGTGTCCCCTCTGTATGTGCGAGATGTGTTCCAGACCCTGGCACATAAAGCAAAATTGCGTAAAATGCACCCATTTTAATATGTAAATCACAAGGAATGCTTGTTGAGACTCGCAAATTACACATTTCTTGATTTATGAATTTGGTCAAAAGTCAGGAAATGGTGTTTAGAAAAGCAGTGATTTAGCAATAGTTATCTGAATGGCTGAGGGTAGGACCTGCATAGCATAGACCAGAAGGCCTACTGCAGTGCCTTTGTTCTTTTGGAAAGCAATGGATTTAGCAATGCAGTTGTGTAAGAGTGAGAATGATTATGAAGAGTAGGACTTGCCTAGTACTGGACAGTAGGCCAGTTGTAGTGCTTTGATATTCAGTTGTTTAAAAAAGTTGACCTCCTGACTTTGATGTAAATTTGAAATATGCAAATATGAATGTCCAATATATCTATGACCAAATTGCAGTAGCATTCATACTCATTCACACAGGATATACAACCAGAGGGGTACATTTCTCAGCTTATATATGCTGAGATTTTAATTCTTTCTTAGGAATTTCAGTATCCTTGTCTGGTGGTGAAAAGGTTACCATGCAGTCTTAATGGCCTTAGTTTGGTCATTGAGCTTTAAACCTCATTAACCAACTTGTGCACCTATTTTTGCCTCTGTCTTTCCACCATTTTTTTTTTTTTTTTTAACATGCTGGGCATATCACAGAGGTAGGGTGGCACCAAATGAAACATTCACCATCACTCATTATATAGCTGTCATGTGCAATCATCTCAATACAAACAAGCCTCCAGACTGTAATATTCCCAACTCTCATTCAGAGTGCAAGCAGTGTGCTTCTCACCCCAGGACTTTAGTCCAGCTAATTTAGTTTGCCTAAATTCTTTCTTGACGACTGCTGGGTGCTCAAGCCCCTAATACTCAGTACCACCTTTAACCCCTCCCTCCCTCCAACCCTACATGGGATGAACCCTACTCCTCTTAACATTCACCCCAGATTTATACATCCACTTCTGTTTTATTGACTCTAAATGTCCAAACTACATTGAAAACTGCTCCTGAATTATACCTGAATTAACCCCATAGTCTTCTGATTTCTATACTCAAAATTCTCTTCACAATATTCACAACATAGTGCTCTCAAATATGACATCTTCACTGTCTCCAGCATTCTTGGTGCAATTTTTAAAGTCCTCTCCTTATATCCATGTAAGTGTTGGTACTGCTATAATCTGGCACATTCCCATTTTTGCCTCTCTAGATGCACTTCCTTACACAGATGCCTTAACACACTGCTTGCCTTTCTCCTATCCCTTATCTATTCATTGGTTCACTCCACCTTTAATAGACCCATCTGCTAACACATCCACTCCCAAATATCAGAATACATTCACTTCATACTACCTCCCTGTTTTATTGCTTAGATTTTATTACTCATCTTTTTTTTGTATGTTTACTTTTAACTTCCTTTTACATACTACATTCCCAAATTCCTTGACAAACCTTTTCAACTTCTCTTCAGAATCTTCCAAAAGAATTGTAATCCTCAAAGGAGCAATTTAAGCAACCCTCCTATCTTGGATCAAACCATTGCCTCCCATTGCTAGGCTCTGTATGACCCATACAGATTTAGCATTTCCCAGTGACTAATAATGATGAATAAGACATAAATGTAACACCTCATTTCCAAATATTATAATAATAATAATAATAATATCTTTATTTACTACAAGTACATGTACATGGTATACAGGCCTAGCTGAAATCAATGACATACTACTATATAGAAAGTCCCTTGTTTTGCTAAGCATTTCAGGCAAATTAGGTCGGTGTCCCAGGATGTGACCCACACCAGTCGACTAACACCCAGGTTCCCATTTACTGATGGATGAACATAGACAACAGGTGTAAAGAAACACGCCCAATGTCTCTACCTTGGCTGGGAATCAAACCCAGACCCTCGCCGTGTGAAGCAAGAGCTTTAGCCCCCAGAGCTCCATTTGATAGTTCCTGGTGGGTGAATCATCTGTTGAACAAAGTTACATCAGCTGTTGCACTGTCTTGTTGGTATTATATACCTTTGATCTGATTGACTTTAATAATTCATTAAAACTGACAAATGCATTGGAGAGCTTGGAAGAAGTGTTTTTTCTGACCACACATAGATTTGCTGAAAGGAGGATTTGAACTCCTACAAAAAGCACTCGATTCAGTGGACCACAATCTCCTGCACCTAAAATTAAATAATTACGGCATCAGAGGACATTCCCTTGATTACCTAAAATCTTAACAACAGACACCAGTATGTATATGCAAATAGTCAACTCCAGTCAGTAGCTGTCGGAGTGCCCCAGGGTAGTGTCCTAGGCCCACTCCTCTTTTTCATCTACATCAGTGATCTCCCCAATGCATCCCAACTCCTTATGTCTACTCCCATTCAAACCCAGCTATACTTAGAAACACTGTAAACAACAAGCTGCTAAAAATATATACATGTACTTGGATGATGACCAACAAACTCACTCACAACATAGACAAAACATACTTCATGCTGTTTGGTTTCAAGACACACTGAGGGTAAATTTCTAGGTCTTCTCCTTGACTGTAATCTTAAATTTCATTCCCATTTCCAAATCAGTAGGCATCCTTTCCAAGATACTATGTACCACGAATGACACTCCTTACCCTATACCACTCTTTAACCCTTTGACTGTCGCAACCCCCAATCCTGAGGTGTCTCCTGGTGTCGCAAATTTAAAAAAAAAAAATGATTTTTTCTTATGAAATGATAGAGAATCTTTTCCCGATTGTAATGACACCAAAAAAACGAAATTTGATGAAAAACTGACGAAATTATGCTCTCGCGAAGTTAGCGACCTCAGCGATGTTTACAAATCGGCGATTTCGCCAACTTTGAGCCCTATTTTCAGCTAATTCCATTGTTCCAGTCGCCCAAACTCATAGCGATTTCTTTAGAACTCCATTTTTTCTATCGATTGAGCACAAGAAACTGCCCATTTACCGATTTCAACTACCTAATAATGTGGTCAGAAATTTGGAATTTGGCCAATTTCACGAAAACTAAAAAATATGACAATTTCAAAATAAGGTCCAGAATGAACAATGCAGACATTCCTGGCTCTAAAATAACATTTTCTTTGTTCTATTTTGAATTTTTATTCAAACAAAAAATAGAAGACTTACTATTATGCGGACTACTGCAATACTGTAATAATTGTATAAATAACATCAACCCATTCGTGACTGCATATTAGAATGGCTAATTGGACATTTATTGGAAAATGGCATCATTTGTTTACTTTTGTACATTGGCAAAAATCAAACATTTCCCCTACTTTGAGCTCCATTTCTAGGTTCTTTTTATAGTAAAATCAATCAAAATCACCTCTATTTCTATAAAATGTTTTCCATTCTATCAAATGAGACCAAGAAAGTGAGAATACAACCATAAATACTATACGAAAATAGACCACAAAGTTGGCATTTTAATAAAAAAAAAACGGTCGTAGTTTTTTTTTTCTCATTATGCACTGCGTGCTCCAGGATTTTTTTTATATGGTGCACACTGACCACACAGACCCATTCTCTCACATGTGGGCCTATCAGCTTTCTTCTGCTTGATTTGAAGCCGCTAGAATTTATGAGTATATATACGTCAAACACGGTACCTCGTAAGACGTACATATACGGCCGCGACAGTCAAAGGGTTAATGTATCCTTACCTCACCTATGGTATTTGTGCCTGGGGATCAACTACAGCCAACCACATTAAACCTTTAATAACCCAACAATAAGCTGCTGTGCAGATTATTACCAGCTCCTGTGCTAGCCAGCACATCCCACCACTTTTCAAAAGCCTGAACTTGCTAAATATACAAGACATACACTCATATTATTGTGCCTACTTCGTATACAGAACATTAAACTCCACTATAAATCCTCCACTTAAACTTCTTGATAGTTACAACAGAATGTACAGTCACAATACAAGGCATAAGGCACTCTTCAACTTCTTTTGTGTTAGTCTCACAATATGCAAAAACACAATGCGCATTAAGGGCCTGAAAATCTGGAACTCGCTAAGGATCCCCTGGTAAAAGATCTTGGAACTGGTAAAGGATCCCCTGACTACTTATAAATTTAGGACTTTGCTAAAAAAATCATCTTATTTCTCAATACTAACCAAATCAACCAAAACAACTTCTAGTTAGTTATGTTATGTGATCTCTATTTTTTAAACATCTGCCAATCCATGAAATATTTACTGCTTGAACCATTAATTGTAATATTGTTTTTATTATGTGCAACTTCAAGATTATTATTCTTATAAACCTCCACCTTGACTACTTTGCATTAGTATTAAGATTAAATAAGATTGTAATAAAGTTAACCACTATTATCTTGTCTAGTTTTAAGTAGTACTATGTATTATGATTAGTCTTCCCGAAATGCCCCGGCATGATAGTGACTTTCTTTGTATGTACTTAGCAACCCAAAATTGTAATTACGCATTGTAACCTTTACAAAGAAATGAGTCTTTATCTTTATCATAGCAAGAAAGTCCTAAAGCTGGCAAGGTACCATGAATATTGTTGTGTGTAATAAGATTTCTTTAATCCATTGGGCAAATCTTATTAGACCAGGCTGGCCTGTTAATTTTAGGACTGGTTTGCCATGGGGTTCAGAATTCCTAGTTGGCGAGTTATGAACATTTCATTAATATTTCGTGGGTCAGTTTAGATTAATTTAACGAAGAACTATGCTTTGTTCCTTCATTGGTAGACCACTGGACACCCAGTGGACTGGGGAACTTGCTAAGGTGATGGTGTCCACATTAAGGTTTGGTGAATGTAATATTTGGAATTGCCTTTAGTTATACAGGTCGGCCATCACTAATCCGGCAATCAGTTATCCGGTTCCATCAGTAATCCGGCACTAATTTCAGCTAGCATAATTTCATATTTCATCATTATACTGACTCAAATTTCATCATTATACTTACTCAGAAATTGTGCAGATGGTTGTAAATCCACAGCAGCAAGCCAGTGGAGGAGACAGTAGTGATGAAAATGAGGAAGATGTAGCAGAAAGACTATTGATAGGTTAATTAAATGTATTCTAACCTAATCACTCTGTAATCCAGCAAACTCACTAATCCGGCACACTACAGGTCCCAACGATGCCGGATTAGTGATGGCCAACCTGTACATGAAACCCAAGATACTATTGGATATGTCAAAGATTAGTACGCAGTTTAAAAAGGGTACATTCCTTTTATACTTATGTGCAAGAGGAATGTGCCTTGTGTGAACTCGCATAATATGCCCTAACCTGCCAAATTTTAGTTTTTTTGATTGAGGTGATCTATTATTGTACTTCACTGGATTAGATTGAGTCTGTTACTCCATGTAATAGTTATAATACATTGTACTGTATCCTAATAAATAGGTGATTCATTGTATATCGTTGTGTAACTCACTAATAATTGGGTTGGTTTTGATGCTCAGTAGAAGGATAAATTTATAAAAAAAACTTAAGAGAAAGAGGCATAATTAATTTTGTCTTCTGTGATTAATAACCTTCGTTAGATGTGGTGGACTATAGGGAATTTTGTGTAACTAATGATTATATAATTGGGCTTGTTTTGAACTGGTGGGAAAACATACAATATATACTATACAGGCAGGCCCCACTTTACAGGTACACTTCGACTTTATGGTGTTCTGCTAATGCATCAGTTTTCAATTACCCATTCTTCATCTATTCAGACTTCATCTTTTCACCACTCACTATAAGTTAAGGATGAAAGTATTTAAAGGTAAGTAATGCATTTACTGTATATGCATTTTTTAGGCCTAGTTTTATTGCTCACTTAACCCTTTCAGAGTCGGCAGGGCCTCTCCCAAACTTGTTCTCGGGGTTGGAAATTTTTCGAAAAAAAAAAATATTTTTTCTTATGAAATGATAGAGAATCTTTTCCTGATCATAATGACACCAAAAGTATGAAATTTGATGGAAAACTTACGGAATTATGCTCTCGTGAAGTTAGCGGTCTTGACGATGTTTACGCATTTGTGATTTTGCCCATTTTGAGCCCTATTTTCGGCCAATTCCAATGTACCAGTCGACAAAAATCATACCTATTTCGCTAGAACTCCATATTTTCTATCAAATGAGTACAAGAAACCACCCATTTACTGATTTCCACTATCCAATAACATGGTCAGAAATTGGCAATTTTGCCAATTTCACACAAATTTCAAAAGATGCCAATTTCCAAAAAGGGTCCAGAATAAACAAGACAGACATTTCTGGCACTAAAATATCATTTCCTCTGTTCATTACTCATGTCCCCAGGCCTCTGTTACATTTCTTTTGCTATCCACTTTGAATTTTGATTCTCAAAAAATAGAAGATTTATGTTAAGCAGACTACTGCATTCGTGTAGAAATGGCGTAGAAATGGTATAAATAATATCAAGACACTTGTGAAAGAATATTACACTCGCCAATTGATGTGTATTGGACGCGTGGCATGATTTGTTTACCTTTGAACTTTGGCAAAAATCGAACATTTCTGCTACTTTGAGCTCAATTGCAAGGTACTTTTCATTGTGAAACCAATTAAAATCATCTCAATTTCCATAATATGTCTTCCATTCTTTAAAATGAGTCCAGGAAAACTAGAATACAACCATAAATAGCATACGAAAATACACTGCAAAGTCGCTGTTTTAAACCAAAAACACAGTCAGTTTTTTTTTTTTCTCTCATTATGCACTGTGTGCTGCAGGATTTTTTTTTTACTGTGCACACTGACCACATAGATCCATTCTTTCATATGTAGCCCTACCAGCTTTCTCTCGCCAAATTTGAAGGTGCTAGAATTTGAGTACTAGTACAGCCCAACCCTGGCTTGCAACCCGTACTAAAAGGGGCCCCAACCCTTAAAAGGGTTAATATGATGCATAAGCATTTTTGAAAGGAAAAGGCTTTTTTCATTTTATAGCATTTTTTGGGCTTTACAGCAGTACCCCGGGAATTTAAACCTTTGACTGTTTCGGTCGTAATTTTATACGTTTTAAACGAGCCACGGGTGTTTGACTACATATTATTTTTTTTTTATCAAAACGGGCCCGGGTTTCCCACCAAGGCGGGGGGCCCGAAAAAAAAAAAAAACTTTCCCCACCCTTTTCACTCCATCACTGTTTTTTGCCAAAAGGGGGTTGTTTTTACTACATTTTTTTAAACTGCAACAAAACCCCCTCCTTCAGATTTGCGGGCCCTGTACTTCCCATGGGCCGGGGACTCAAGCCCTTGGCCTCCCGGGTTTTTCCCTGCCCCCCTTTCAAAATTTTGTTACAAAAAAACCTTTTGTCTCCTTTTCACCCCTTTCAAACACTCTCACGCATGCCGGGTTTGGAAGTCCAACCCCCTCGCACAAAAAAACCCCCTTTTACCCCCCCCCACCCTTTTTTTTCCTGGGCCCGACCCCTACCCCCCTTCCTTCCACTACGACTGATACACTCTTAAAGTCACCTGTTTCTTTAAAATTTTCTCTACTTTCCCGAAACCACCTTCCCCTTAAAAAAACCCCTTCCTCACCCCTTTTGGCAACATTTTTTGGTAATCCCGCCCCCCAAACCCCTTCCCCCCAAAATTACAAAATTCCCCCCTTCCATTATTTCCCAACACAAAACCCCCCCTAAACCCCCATTAAATTTGGTAAAACTTCCCCCTTCAAACATTCCCCCCTTCCCTTCCAAAAAAGGGTTTTGGTTAAACAATTTCTAAATTCCCCCTTTTTCCTTTGGGGGGGGCGGGGTTTTTGGGGGTGGGGGCCAAGAAAAGTGGGGGGGGATTTTTAAAAATATTAGATTTTTTTTAAATGAAATGGGTAAGGTTTTAAAAAAAATTGGAATAAAAAAATTCCTCAACTCTCCCCCCCAAATCTGATACCCAAAATTTTCATCCCCTAACCTTTTTGTTATTCATAACCTTATTTTTTTCCCCGTATTCCATTTTTAATTTTCTTTTTTTGCACCCCCCCTTCCAATATAAAACTCAATAAATTCTAGTGGCTTCAATAAAGGGCGGGGAGAAAGCGGGTAGCCACAGGTGAAAAATGGATTTTGGTGGTCAGTGTGCCCCATATAAAAAAATCATGTATTTATTGCAGCAAAATGGAAAAAAAAAACCCTCCGAGCTTTTTTTTTTTTTTTTTTTTTTTTTTTTTGGGGGGGGGGGGGTTTTAAAAAATGCCAATTTTTTGTGGTGTTTTTTTCCAAAAGATTTAGGTTGTTTTTCTCGTTTTTTTGGGTTTTAAATTTGTAAAATTTGGAAACCATATTACAGAAATGAGGTGATTTTTGGTTTGGGTTTTACTTTTAAAAAGGAAACCCTTTGAAATGGAGATCAAAGTTGGGGAAAGTTTGATTTTTTCCGGGTGTTCAAAAATAAACAAATGATGTCATTGTCCAATAAATGTCCAACTAGCCATTCTAATATGCAGCAAGAAAGGGGTTTACCCTTTTTTACCTGTTATTACAATAAAGGGGTGGGCCCGCCCTAACGTAAATTTCTATTTTTTTTTGAATAAAAAATCAAAAAAGAAAACAAAAGTTTTATCAGAGGGGCCTGGGGTGTGACTGATGAACAAAAAAAAAATGTTAATTTTTGAGCCCCGGGAAAGTCTGCTTTTTTCTTCTGGACCCTTTTTTGAAAGTGGTATATTTTTTAATTTGCATGAAAATTTGGCCAAATTGCAAATTTTGAAATACATTATTAGGGAGTTGAAATCGGGAAAAAGAGGCAGTTTTTTTGTTTCCCAATCGAAAAGAAAAAAAATGGAAATTTTAAAAGGGAAAAACTTTGGGGTTTTTCGATGGAACCATGGGAAATTTGCTGAAAATTGGGCCTTAAAAATGGGGAAAACGCCAATTTTTAAATATCGCCAAGGTCGCTAACCCTTTGGGGAAAGGGATAAATTAAGTAAAATTTTTCCATCAAATTTTATTCTTTTTGGTTTTCATTAACCCTCGGGAAAAGCTTCTTACATTTTTTGAGAACCTTTTTTTTTTTTTTTTTTTTTTTCAAAACCAGGAAAACAAACCCCAGGATTTGGGGGTTTCCCACAGTCCCAAAAGGGGTTTAACCCCGTTTTTATAAGAGGGACCCCACCCGTATATATGTTTTTAAGGGACCCCCAAAATTCGATGGCATCGGGATTCGGGGGAAAACCGGGATTTTTAAAGCATTTTAAACCAAAAAAATTTGCCTCTGTATCCGATTTAAAAAACCCTTTTTCCCATACGATTGTACAGACGTTGGGCCACGGGGTGGCCTGAACCCCGTGTGTGCCAGGTTTAAAAAAGCCCCGCCCGGGGTTTTTGCGCATTAAGGAAAACATTCGGTACATTTCCCTAATTTTCACTGTTTTTGGGGCTTGTTTCGCAAAAATAAGTACCATGGGCCCAAGAAAAATTTAGTGGGCCCAAACCGTGTTTAAAAAAGGGGGAGGGAAATTTGTATGGGAAAAATTTAAAAAGATTTTTAAGGGGTTTTGGGCTAACCCCGAAAGGGCCCCTGCCGATTGTGGGGAAAACATTTGGCCTTAAATAAAATTAAAGGAAAAGTGTGCCAGTGGGTTGAACTGTAAACCTTTATGGGGAAAATCACCCTAACACAGCCCATTTTCCCAAACCGGATGGTGACTATTACAATGACAGTGTTTTTGGCCATTTTTAGATTTAATCCCTAAAGGAACGGGGGGGCACAGAGCTCTATGGACAGAAATTTTTTTGCAAAAGGGGGTCCATTAAATCTCAATTTTTATGGCATTAAAAAAAAAAGAAGGAAGGAAACCCCCCAAAAAAAGGGCTTTCTACCTCAAGGCCCCAAAAGGAAGGGGGTTCCCCTTCTAAACACTAAAACATCCACTCTTTCCCCCCCTTCCCCTCCCCTCAATCATCACCAGATTTTTAAATTTTTAAAGGTTTAAATGTTTAATTATTCTTTTTTATTGAAAATTTTTCTTTTGCATTAAAAATTAAATATTTTCATGTGGTTTAAAAAATTTTTTTCATTTCTTTGGGTGTCTTGCACGGAATAATTTGATTTTTTCCTTATTTCTTTTTGGGGAAAAATTTATTCGCTTTTCCCATATTTTTTGGGATTCGATGAGCTCTCAGGAAGGATTTAAAATCGAAAACCGGGGGTCCATGTATATTTTTTTATGGGGCCCTTTTCATGGACAATTTTGGCTTTTTAAAAGGGCAGTTTTGGCTGTTCATAAATTTTTTTCCCATTAAAAAAATTTAGACAAATTTTGATAGGCCCTCCCTTTTCTTTGGGTTTTTTTTACCCTTTTTTTAGTGATGTCATAAATTCGAGCTCTCCCTTTTAAAAAAATAAAACTTTTTCCCCTCCCTCCGGGGTAATTTCAGTAGGACCCCCACATCCCTATTTTTCAAAAAATCGGGGTGTTTCAAACGTTTCCCCTGTTTACTGTGGCCCAGAATTAAAAACCCTTTAATTTTTTTTTTAACCCCTTCAGGGTTTTCCCTCCCCCTAATATAGGCTTTAAAGGTTCAAGGGGGCCCAAAACCCTTTGATTTTACGCCAAAGAGCTCAGCTCACTCTGGAAAAAAAACTGTGGGGGGGTACATTTTTGGGAAGTATGAGAGAAAACCCTCTGTGGTAAAGTGTGCAAACCCCCATAAAAAAAGATTCCCGGCCGGGACACGTGTATAATTGGGAAAAAAAAAAACGAAAACTGATTTTTCGATTTTAAAAAAGCGACTTTTTTCAGGTTTTTTCGGGATTTTTTTTTTTATAGTTGTATTGCGATTTCTTGGTTTTATTTGAAAAGAATGGAAAAACCCTATTAAAAGAATTGAGATGATTTTTGATTGGTTTTTTGCCTTTGGGAAAGGCTTGAAACTGAAACCAAAAAAGTTCGGAAATGTTTAAAATTTTTTCCGATTTTCAAGAGTAAACCCACGACCCCAGCATCTAATACTCATCACCCGGTTTTGGGCTTTCTTTAATTTTACAAATTTTGGTGATGATAATTTTTTAAAATTAAATTTCCCGCATTGCTAACAGTAAAACTTCATTTTTTTTTGGGGTGAAAAAAAATTCATTTTGTGAAAAAAAATTTAAAATGGGGAAATTTTTTTGTAAAGCCCCAAAAAAGTAACAAAAGAAAAAAGAGGAAAAGTTAGTTTAGGGTTTCCCGGGAATACCTACCCTTGTTTTTTTGGAGGGGGTATTTTGGGAAAATTGGGAAAATTTTTTTAAAATTTTTGTTTTTAAAAAGGGGCCCAAATTTCCCAATTTTCCCTCAATTTTTTTTGTAGTTGAAAAAGTTGAAATTGGCCAAAAATTTTTTTTGTGCCAAACGAAAGAATAGAAAATAATAACCCCGTGAAATAGTAAAAAATTTTTTTTGATGGGAAAAAATGTAATTTGGGCCAAAAAAGGGGGTCAAAGTCGGCAAAAATCGCCCATTTTGGGAAAACAAACGCGACACATTTAAATTCGCGAGAGCATAATTTGTCAATTTTTCCCCCAAATTCCGGTACCTTTTTTTTTTTATTACCTTTTACAAAAAAATTTTTCTACGATTTAAAAAGAAAAATAAAATTTTTTTTTTGAAAATTCTTGACACGGGGGACCCCTTTTAAATTTTTGGGCCCTTTGGGCCCTGAAAGGGGTTTAAAAATGGCCCCCAAAAATTTCAAAAGTAGTGAAGTTGCGTTTTTTCAAAAACCCGAGAACCTTTTAAAATGCTTTCCCATCAGGTGAAAGCGGGCTAATTTAGACTTACTTTTGCTTTCAAATTTTAATTAAAATTTATTATAAATATGTATGTAGTAAATGAAAAATGACATATATAGGGTTGCTACATCCACAGTAGGTCTTGGAACATATCCCTGCAGATATGGGGGATTACTGTAAAAACTTTTATTTTCCAGGTCCATCTTGCTGCGTCTCCTTATGGAAAAAATGATAATCTTATGGCCCCATAAAAAATTCTTTTTAGGGAATAAAAAGCCTACCCAAAAAAATCCTACCCTAGTTTTTCAAAGTAGCTCTTAATTACATAGTGTATAATGTTTACTTTCAGCAAAGTGGTGGGGGTGGGGTGGTGCAGGAAGCCAGATCTCACGAAACTGCTGGTTTTCCCACTGTCTGACTTCTTGATGCAGCTGGAGGACTACAACCCAACGGTCAGAAATAGTGGAAACCTGGGTTACTGTATGCTTCCTTGTTGTATTTCTCAGAAGTTCTTTGAAAGACAAGCCAGAAAGCCATGCAGATTTCAAGTCCTTAGTTTTGCACATTCTTTTATATTGTAGTATTAGATACTGTACTGTAACTTCATGTACCATGTATTTTAAATACATGCTGTATCAGGTAATTTATTATAATTTTTTTTACACAAGTGTGCCTTTATATGCTAAAGGGTTTCAGGTCAAGGGTAGGCTTTGCATTATGCTTTAGAGTAAAGTAAGAGAAATTTAAACCCCTTAAATATGACTACTGATTTACCATCATGTTTACTTCTGTTGTGTGCTTTTTATGCTGAATAATATGGTATTATATTGTTTACTTTGAATGTTGAATGCCATGCTGAATATTTAGTTGAGTATCACTGCCTGCAGCACATTAAAATCTACTTTTAAAACAAACCTGTACCATATAATATTTTAAAGTAATTTGAAGGATAGTATAAAGCCTAGCAGATTATTGCATTTTCTATGAAAAAGTCTATAGAAACAGTAATTGTCCATCTGACTTATGGGAGGCAGATAATATAATCATTAATTAACCCTTTGGGGGTCGCCCAGGCCCTCTCCGAAACTCGTTCTCAGGGTGGGCCCAAAATTTTTAAAAAAAAAAATTATTTTTTCTTATGAAAAATAGTTTTTTTTTTCTAAAACTTTATAGGCTAAACAAAAATTTTTTACCGTCAATACTTACCGAGATATGGAGGCGTGAAGTTTGCCAAATTTAACAACATCTGGTAACATCGCCGACTGCCATCACCCGGTATTTTTCTATTTACTTTCTTATGTACTTTTCAATTATTTTTCAATTTTCTTTTTCTGAGTAACTTTTATGGCCTCTGAGGCCAACATGATCAGTATTTTGTAAGTTATTTTTTTTCAATACTACACAATAAAGGGGGTAAACACTGTTGTCATTATTTTGTTTACAAAAAATTTACACAAAAAAACATATGAAATGTTGCTTATTACTATTTTTTTTAAAATTTTATATACACATATACAGTCACAGGGAATGTTTCTAGAAGTTCGCAGCCCGTGGAAGTCTTTGAAAAAATGGTGTCATGCACAGTGGTGTTTTACATTCCTCACACATAAAACAGTGTCTCTGCGTTGTTGTGGGCGTTTTTTTGTAAGTGCAAAAGACGTAACACCTCTTCTGAGCCTTTTTCTTGAAAGCAGTAGCAGCACTTTACCCGGAAGTGATCACCATGCTTCAACGAGCAGTAGTTTTTTGATAATTGGTGGGCGGCCAATTGCAGGGGCTGTTCCTTGGTAATTGAATACTATTTTCTGATGACAGACAAACAGAATTCGCCATACTGTGGTTTGTTTCTGGTCCTCATCTATACATAAATTTTAAGCATTGAGCATGGAAATGTCCAGAGATGGAAAAACAGTTTGTTGTACCACTATAACTCTTGCGAACACAATCAGCAAACCAATCTGCATGTCACATTTGTCCACTGAATGCATGTTGAAGGTGTAATCAATCACAGCTGCAGGTTTTAGAATGGGTTCATTGCTCTCTCTATGCTGCCTGCCACTGTCTGCCATTTCATTAGGGTGAACTGATGACAACAGTGTACATCTCGTTGTCATGCCACCGAAATGCCATGATGTCATTGGCAGCAAACGCCTGCACCTCACCTCTACGAGTGCCAGCGTCAACCTGGGCATATGTTTCCGATTTGCACGCACTGTGCCACACCATCTGTCATGTTCCCCTCGCAAAAAAAACACTGAGTGAGGGGCTGTGGGACCAGTTTTTCTGTATATAATATATGCCCCCTTACCAAGGTATGGTTTTTAAACATTGTTCTAACCACATCACCTGAGATGCCCAATAACTTCCTGGGATTTTGCAATGTATAACTTCCAGTGTACACAATAATATCCAATACCAGACCACTGTAACAATCACAAAGCACAAACAACTTTATACCAAAGCGTTTCCTCTTGCTTGGTAAAGTACTGCTTGAAAGAGAGTCTTCCTTTGAACAAATCAAAGACTCGTCAATTACAAGCTTCCTGAAGGGATAAAAATGCGTACTGAATTTTTCTTTCAGATACACAAACACATTCCTAATCTTATATAACCTGTCAGTTCTGTCAGGCCTGGTTTTGTCTGAGAAATGAAGCATATGTAACATTAGCACAAACGATTCACTGGGATTATATCACTGAAACCGGGGGTTCAATCGGGCGGTCTGTTGACCATATGATTTCACTTTGTGCTTATACCTTGGCAAACATTTTGCGCAAAGAAAAGATACATCTCAGCCACAGTTGCCTTTTCCTTCCACTGGTTAGACGTGTTTTTGGTGAAAGTAATGGTTTGCCATGGTTACTCTAGTAGTGTTGCTTTCCCTGAAATACTTTCCCATGGTTCGTCAAGAATAATCGAAACTTTCCCGTTCGTGGCATTTTTTCCCAAGTGTCAAGAGGCCGTATTCCACTTTGGCTGTCATCAAACTGGGGGGCTTTTGGAACAAAATTGACAGCTTCCTGCCAATCCCAGTGCGGTCTGTGGGGGGTACTGGAAATGACGGGTGTTGGGGTTGGGGAGGTTTGGTTGGGGAGGCTGGTGTGGGGGGTGGGGGGGGGATGGTGGCCTTTTTTTGTAGATCAGGAGGCAGCGGCGTGGGGGGCAGAGGCCACTGCGGTGCCTCCCCCCGGGCCCATACCCCCACGCACATTTTCCATCCCAAATTAAACAGTTCATCGTATTTTCACTCTTGTTCCTGTTGACAGCCAGGGATGTACCGATGCATCCTTCCCTTTTGGAATAGCATAGGGGCACACTACCAGAGCGCATATATCCGTATATACTGACGCTTCACTGGGGAATATTGCATTTCACATACTACTGGCAGTTTAAAGGGCTTGAGTTCATATTCACATCACTGTCATCCCCCCTGCTCTCATCTGAGTGGGGGTTTGGGGGAAAATGAAGTTTCCTTTTGGGATTCGGGTACAATGAATGAACAAGAGGGCCCAGCAACCAGAGGGGGAAGGGCTAGGGCCCGTTGGTTTTCCTCACTTTTACCGTTTTTAGGGTCTTATTTTGGTAAAACCCACAAAAACCCTTGAAACCATCTTCACTGGCATTTCCATCGTATAGAACTGTCACTGGGGAACAAAAGTGTCCCAATTTCCCGAGGAGTGGGGAGTTCTTACCGCGAGGCATGGTGGACATTGTTTTACTAAGATGGTGTTTTTCCACAATGCACCACTGGGTCCCAGATTTTTTCTACCGCCACACTGACCCCAACCCTTCTCTCACATGTAGGCCTACCCCCCCTTTTCCCCCTGGATTGCGGCGCTAGAATTTGTGCGTACTAGTACTCAAAAAAACCCCTAGCGTAAAAAGTACTAGACTCCCAAACCCTAAAGGGTTTAAACCACTGTTTTTTTGTTAGGGCGCTTTTAACCCTTAAACTGTCCAAAATAGATCATGCGCACGTAGCGCCCGACCCTATTTTTCCCCCATAAAAAAAAAGGAAAACCAATTTAAACCGTTAAGACAACCAAAAGTATTTAAAATTTTTTTTTTTTTTTATGAAATAACATTTCCCTACAAAGAAAACAATGAGACTTGCAAATAACTTTTAAATAAATTTTTAAAAAGCCCACCCTTTTTTGAAGAGATTGATAAGTGATGAGCACTGTTTTCTTGAACAACCCGGAATTTCAAGTGATACAGAGTAAAGGCTTACTTTGCAATCCCCCCAAAATTATACAAAAAAAGAAAATTGCCTGTCCCTTTTTAGGCTTGTTCCCGGGGGTGCTTTTCCCCCTGAGAATGTAGGTCCTGTTTGGATTTTCTTTCAGAAAGGCCCCGTTTTGTCACAATTGGCACTGTTGGGGGGGAATTTTTCAGCTTCGCCATGCCTTATCACACTGTGATGCCTTCGATTCTTAAATCTCTCAAACCAAAACCCTTTTTGGCCCTTAAAATTTACCATATGGGACTAGTTCCCGGATTTTTTTTCCCTTTTACTTGGGTGTTTTTCACTGGTGTGGGGTTTCATCCTGGGGGAAAGATTAAGGACCCCAAAAGGGGAAAAAAGTTAGTCCTCGTTTATTTTCTGACTTTTTTGGTTATTTGGGGGGCTAACCCTCTGGGTTTTTAAATTTTTTGTCGGGAATTGTTTCTCGTTAAGCCCCACCAACAACATCTCCCACATCTTCGAGTATACAGCTGAGGTGCAGCAACAGCTGATGGTGGTTCAGCAGCAGCTGACCGTGGTACGTATTTTCCACCCTTTTTACCAGGGGTTGGGACTAGAAGCTTTCTTTGGGCCCATGGGGCTTATTTGCGTTACAAACACTATAAAAAAAAAGGAATAATCAAAAAGTATCGAAAGTATGCATAAAACCAGCCCCCCCTGGCTTGTAACAGGGGGCAGGGCCCCGCTAGGCGCTCAGGCTGGACAGACAGGGCAGGACAACCCCTTGGTGGTTTTTTATCATTACCAGGCCAAAAAATTTTTTCATCAAAAAAACTTCTTGGGCGGATTTAAAGTTATGCATGCGTTCTCACCAAGGGTCCCCTGTATAGATATTTATGGGTGCCTGGTTTTCCAAAAACGGCATTTTTAAAAACAAAAATTAATTTAAAGGAGAAAAAATCCCACAATTCTTATCCCTTTTGTTCAGGGAAAAAAGAACACACCACATTGTTAAAAAAAATATTTAATGGAAATTAATTCAATTGACCCAAAAAATTAAAAAAAAATAATTGGGGAAAAAACCCCCACCATTTTTGGGGAATTTAGAGGTATATCAAAGGTAGGTGTATTTTCACCCACATGAGCATCCTCTTGACCCCTTTACTGTTTTCAACCCCAAATCCGAGGGGTCTCCTGGTGTCGCAAAATTTTCCAAAAAAAAAAAAAAAATTATTTTTCTATGAAAAGATAGAGAATCTTTTCCCC